CTGCATTAAGCATGATGAACTTTAAATCAAAATTATGGTTTGCCTTAAGTGTGCCTCTTAAAGGGATTTTTCTTTCTTGCTGTAGCAAGCCAACCGTGATGGAATCACTTCTATCTGGAAACGAGTTCAGGAATGTGTACGGATTCCAAGCAACACATAGTTGATTTTTATCACATACGCCACATATCCAGAAGTACTAGGCCTACATTAGTCGAACTGTGGCTGCATTGGGGTAGAGACGCTTTCAGAAGTTAGCAAATACAATACACATGATGCATCTGCGGGATGCGCTTTTGGCAATATTAATTAATGTAGTGGGATTATGCCAAAATACAACTCGGATCAGCCTACTGGGGTGGTGCAATACAATAAAAATATCGCTTGATTAGACTGTAAAGGAACCACAATGGGAGAAAATATATTGGATTTGTTGTTAAACCTATTCGAAATGGTCATGTCATCAGTGAAATCTGCGTAAATTTTAGGAATAAGTCAGACCTGAGTTTATGTTACAATAATGGAGCCATGTAAAGTATCGAAGATATTCATACGCTACATAGTAAACATGATGTGCCATGTCAGACAGTAGTGTATAAACTAAATAAATAAGTAAAAATAAATTTGCATATTTACCGACAGAAGGTACACGGCCCCATAAGTGAGAGCGATCATTTGTATAGTGAATACGTTTCATAATAGTAAAGAAAAGTTTATTAATAGCATTTCGGATCATGATATTTTTTCCTTGGGTCCCAGACCCGTGCACCTAATATGTAAAATTTACGGATGTTTGTATCATCAGGAGTAGATAAGAAAAGGGGGGATACTAGGCTGCACAGACACGGGATTTGGTATTGTAGGTAATGACATGTAGTGGCTAAGCTAGTTGTAAGCGAATACCTGCTCATATGTTTTTTATACCAGCTTCTGTCAATGATTCTAGGGTTTGCTGTGAGTCAAATATCTTGAACACATTTGGTGTCGTGGGGAACGTCTGAAGGGAATTTCGGAATGTGACAGCTTGTTCTCATGCGTATCTGTAGGAGTAGTTTTTTTCCACAGATCAGTGTATCTCACTAAGGAGAAATTAGATTGAGTTCTATGACTTGAAAGGTTTGTGCGAATCAAGTAGCCGCCATTACCTGTGGGGTAAACTGCAGTCTTCCGTAGTTCAAGCGCAGTACTGTCTGTGTAAATTCGTTGGTTTCTAATGTTGTAGAAGAGAACGAAGTTGTTTTTAAGCGTCTCGGCCAAAGAAGATGCAGTTCGAGTTTTTGACAGCGATCATAATAAGTCAGGTTTGAGCAGCGCCCCATGAGCAGCTTGGTAAATGCTTGTTGGATATTTTCCAGCGGCTTGCTGTCATTCTTTCTCAGTTGGCGGTGAACGATAGTACACTATTCCAGAGTCGGTCGTACGATTGTCTTGAATGACTCACAGTACAAGAGAATGACTACAGTACAACCCGTTTTACAACTTGGTTGCCCCTCAACTGCACACACAAAGAAATTAGTAAAGATTTATTTTCATTTGTTATACGTGTTAGTTAGAGGTGGAAAACACTTCAGCTACTGTGCCGCAGTATAAACGGGAAAAGGAGAAAATGCAACAGATGTATGCCAGCTGAACTACCAGTAACCGATGAACATCGTACCTGAAAGCTACCAGCCGGCAACTACGCAGCAAAAAAAGTTATTATGCAAAGAAATGAGGTTTTGGTTGGAGGGGAATTAGTAAAGAAAGAAATCATTAATAAATGTAGATACGAAAAGTTTTCACCTCTTTTACTTACTGTAACGATGTAGCTGATGAAGCCAAACGGAAATCGGTACCAAACTTATTGCATAAACTTCGCCGTTGAGGTTATATGATGATGACCATCCGTTTAGTTCAGGATGTTACAATACCTATGTCACTGACCTCAAAGTGTTGCTATTCCAAGCCAGAAAATGACAAGCAAGCATGAAATGAGTGAGATTGCTACAGGAACTGGGACTACGCCTGGAGGTCAAACCACAGCAGAGTTTCTTGCTGCTGAGTGCAAAATTCTTTATCCCTCAGATTTCATCATACAATAACAATTTGACCCCTTATTTTCTCCGGGTTACTTGGTAGTGCAGAGTTTCCCAAACTTGTTGTAAGCACAGTGATTACACCGTGTAAGCGGGTACTTTTCCCGCTAATAGGAAGAGGGGCAATCGCTGAAGATGATATTATTTTTGGTTGTACGAAACATGGACTGGGGTTCTTGTCGGCGTGCTCCATTCCGAATTTCAGTCTTCTGTTGTCTGTTGTTGCCAAGGCTATCCAGCATACCAGCGTTAGGAAAATAGTCCTTCTTCATTCACCTGGAATTCTACTGTTCTTCAGGAGCTTAGTTTCTTTTCATTCTCCATGCCGGAAGAAGCACCTTTGCTGAATTATGAATATGGCGTGAGCACGGAGGTCTGTGAGCTGACCTCCCAGCAAATATTCTACTCCAGCTGCAAATATTTGCATATGATGCTATACTTGGTACGGAATTTCGCTCAGCATCTGACTGTGTCTATCTCCAGAACCACCTGGATCGGATTAACGAATGGGCAGAGAGGAAACAGCGCCCAATGAACCCAGCAAAGTGCAACGTGCTGTCGGTACGTAGCCGGTTCACCAACACATTTCTTCTGGGACAGCAAGTACTGCAACACGTGATTTATGCATGAAACATGGGTATCATGGTACAATAAAGAGTTGGTTACAACGAGACATTCGTCTCTTGGGGCAGCCCCAAATGGAGCCACGTAGGCAATCCGCAGACCAACCACTCTCATTTACGAACTGGGCCTTCGTTTACTCGGTGTGTTCACCTCAGAATACGATAGTTTTGCATACGTTTCATTCTCACATGCCGGATACTTACTGGCAGCGAACACCCATGTGCGTCACTGCTGATCCTGGTCCCGTTGCGAACAATGCTGTGGCCACTTCCTGAAACTAATAATGCAACACTCCCGTTTGGACTGTAGAAAATATTTTTACTCTCTTAGAATCTGTTTCCACTGGAATGCACTAGCAACACAGGTGGTGATGAACGCACCAGACATCGCGACATTTGAAAGACTGGTAGACTTTCATCTTATTCGTAAAAGCTATAGAATGGAGTGCTAAAGTGCTATGTCTATAGTACTGGTAAACCACATTTCACTTAGGAAATATTTTGCTTTTCCATCCTGTGGGCCTTGTGAAGCCATGCATTTTACTTGATCATATAATATTGAACTGTTGAACTGCTAATCGACAATAACAAAATTTTTCGTTCAACTTCACATCCTGGTCAAAATCACGTTGTCTGCTACGGAATGCCTAAAGACGCAAGGTGTATTTTCCGGACTATTTCGACGAACTTATCATCAGCCATTCCTCACTCAATGTCCACAACCTTCTCGCTGAATATGAAGGTATTAACTACTCCACGGCTGTGGCATACTTTGAAGGGACACTGCGCTTTTATTGTACGTAATCCTTTAATGTAAACGAAATATTCATTAAAGTAGGAAGACGATCATTCTACGCTTCGCATCTCAGGCCTTACACCATACTTTTTTGTTTGAATGTACCCTTTAACATTGTTATGGGCTGCCCCCTGGAATTAGCCTTCCCCCGTGATTATTTCTGGTTTGAAATAAAGATTGCAGGGTGATTGCTAGATGATCGAAATATCTAGCTCACAGTAGCGGCATGCGTAGACCGGATCTGGTCAAGGTACTTGTGTTCATTTATTCTAATTCCCGTGAAACAACCTAGCAAAAATAACCGTTGATGAGAACGAATCTACAGAGCATAGTCTAAATACACGTGTACCCCCTCTACCAGACAGACGAGAAGAACAATGTATGCTAGCTTATGACAATTCAATTGTCCATAATTTGTTACGTTTTTCGTCTATCGAAGTGAATGAACAGTTCTGCTCTCTGTACGGCAGTTACTTGCAATTTGGTGGATAGTGAGCAGTACTATATCACATCCAGTAACTTAGTCCATCGGTTGGTACGTCCCACGTAGTCTTGGGTCCTAACCACGGACTGATAACTGTCTGGTTGAGAGTTATAGCCTCACTGGAACCCACAAAGACACAGTGCTGACAAACCCCGAAAAAGCGAAACAACCGTATAGTGCTTTTCCGACTGCAGTATTTTGTTTCAGTAATTACCCCCAGCAGTGGCGTGTATTACGACTGGATATTCATCATATACGGATATAGGAAATCACCTACCTGATTTGATTTTACTCAATAAATTACGCCATACATCAGCAAAAGGCGAACTGATAAATTCGTTCGAATGAAATATTAAAAATTTGAAAGTTTCAAGTGAGTTGGCTGCCAATATATTTAGCTACCCGAGGTACGTATTGTACAATACATTATTGTCAAATAATCATATTGCTTGGGAACTCTTCGGACATTGTGTCACTCTAGGTCACTCGTCTATATTGCGTGCGCTTCTGTGAATGTTTCAGAAGTTAACACCGCTTTAAGCAAATAGTGAATTACGAATCGTGTTTCATATGCTTTGGAAAAAGTGTGACAGGATATGGAAAGTTCAGAATGCTTAGTATTTCGGTTTTCCTTGGCGAATCTTAGTAGTAAGTTTAGTTGAATTAGAGGCGATCCTATGAAATCTACATGGTTTTCTCACTATCTAGCGCATCCACCACCGTCCAAGCACAATACCTGATCGCTGTACAGAGATGCACCTAGCTACTTCTCCCCACAGCATTTTAGCCGTGTGTCCCTAAATGCATTTGCACACATTTTTCAGTACGATTAGCCAATGGGAACGCACTGGTAAGATGGTCATAGGGGACAGCCACCTAGCAATCGTCCAATCCGAAGGCTTAGGCGCTTTAACCGTCCCCCTGCGTTCCACTCTGAAGGAAGACGGTACGATATGTCATTTAGAGAGAATGGAGTGCATAGGAGGATACGCATAGTATAACTACAGCACGCTTCTTCATCGGACGACAAACTGTTGAGTTACGTGATGAGACGGGATGAACCAACTCATTCAGGGTGGCAGTGAGACATTTGAGGCAAGAGCGCAAAATTGATCAGCGTAAGTGAAAAGAGGGCACCAGAATTGTACCTTCAACGACCGAGTATCACTACGTGTCTGGAACTCAGCTGTCAACTGTCACTCCGACGTTCATCTCATACAAGTATACTGCGATTGCTTTCGGTGGACGAATTTACGTGATCAGATTTGGTTCAATACAAATCCCCACTTGGTAAGTAATACACACAGGTATGTCGGATCACAATGTGTATTATTCGTTATATACTGATTGTATTAACAAGTACATATTTCTCGACGCCATATTAAGATCATCAAAACTGCACAGAGAAATATGGGCCTGATACTAGTTGACAAAAATGCGATCCAAAAAGTTTACTTCTGTAAATAAACTTGATATTGTGTGCATATCGAAAATCAGCAAATGCTTCGATCTGCGTGTATGTTTACGCTGCTAGTAGGTGCCTGCTTATAAACCTAAATGGATTTCACTTTGTGAGTTGAGGACAGCAGGGATGTTTAACGCTGTCCCCCGTCCAATAACAAAATGGTTTGGATTATATTCCTTCCGCAGAACTACCCAAGGTTAACTGCTTATCATCCGGTCCACTTATAGTTCGTCCAGACTTGTTAAATTTCTAGTGGCACTTAGAAGCAGTAACAAGACTACAAGGGGTACGCATTACCGCGCTGAAGAATACTGATTACGTGGGTTACTAAGAGTAGGACGCATGAATGGTATAAGCGGAATTTCATCCCCACTAGACTAAGTCAAGTAGCCATCACACGCCAGGGAATGTACTGTACAGCCGTTTCATCCTCTACGCAATCGTCAGCAGAGCGCATTCCACCTGACCTCTCTGGGGCCCGAATCCGCAGTCCAGACGTTATCAGTCTATAGGGAAGACAACTGAGAAACAGGGGACAACTACGTCCACCGTGAACAAATCACTAAACGTGATGTAGTGCCGCTCCATGTCCACTGACTTGCAAGTTACTGCAGTGCAGAGGACGGTGTTTCTCCACATCATCGAAAAATGACCAGGAATAAAATGTAAATACTTAAAAGAAATCGCTATCAGATATGTAAAGTGAGCGGAAGACGTGTTATCTGTGGTTTTATTTACCTACTATTGGAAACATATTCCAATTAGTGCAATATGTGTGAATATGTACAAACGAACATATACATTCTAGTGGCTTCTAAATGGATAGTTAGAGGTAACTGCCCATAGGAAAATGTGGAATGCAGTTTCTGCTTAAACCATATAGCCCTGGAACTAATTGTTCCTCAAAGCCATGAGACAAGTACCATTGCAAAAATAGTCACCGTAGTGCGTCCGAGGAACTGAATGTACAAAGTTAAATGTTGATGAGCGCTGCCATTGTGGAACAAAGAATATTAAAGTGCTAAAGGTCTGTCGGCCAACAAACACCACGAAACGATTCTTGCTAAGGAATGATGTGTTCGTTAGAATCCATACGGTTGCCAGATGCTTGCATTCCATGTCATGCGTTCATCCGGCGTTACGGTTCAGTCCGCTTGCACAAACTAAGATGATTAAAGCACTAGAATAGAGTTTCCTACTAATGTTCAGCCCCAGTCCCTCCGTTGGTTAATTTGGTTACGGTTTATCCAACAACAATATTTCTGTCAATATCAGTCGGCGCGTTAAGGAGTTTATGTCAGTTAAATTGATATGACGAAAAATATCTGAATTTAGCAGACTTTTTAGTGCAATAGATTTTTTGGAACAAAAGTTCTCTATCAACGCTAGTTGCAGATTTGTCCGGAATCGCATTATTTGGTTTTATGCCAAGCACTGCTCGCAGATCTCAATGGCCTAGTATTCATGGGAAAAGCCGCCAACCACAGTGTGTCGAGTTCTAAGCCCAACCCATATTATTAACTGATGAGTTCGAACAAGGGTGAAACGCGTCATGGAGTGCAGTAATGGGAGAGGGAGAGAGCAACCTCGAAACCGTCCCCTAGTTTTACTGAGAAATTTCTCTGAACGGAGAATAACGGACCCGAACCGATCGCAGGTGTCGTCCATATGCGCTATACTCAAACTGAGTGAAAACATGTTTATTCTTAATCTGCTGTGTCAAGCATTAACATTTCATCAGCATTACTGGTTAATCTAGCTGAGTTCGTACTTTGCAGCGTCTCAAAGGGTTTGTTACTATATTATTTCACCGATTACTGTAAGGCTGTCCAATGACTGCATGGTTGCTGGTGATTGCTTGAAATGGTGCATTTGGGTAGAAGGACATTTATAATATATGAATTTTTCTCTCCATACCTTATAAAGAATAGTTTCCTGTTTAGTGCCAGACAAAGCACCGTTAACGAAACAAATAAAGAAGCAAGACATATGTTGCTGATTTGCTATCCTAGCTTTCGCCTTTATTTCCTGCAGTCTTTGTGATTAAGAGACGCCAATTGCTGCCCCATAATCGGCCTATCTGTTATTGAATCTTGGTCTCGGTTTGGAAGTATTTTCACCTAAATGCAGCTCAACTAGAGTTCTTTGTTTGATGGTGAGATCTTTGAAGCGGCCAAAGCGTTTAAAACCACGTGAAAGTAGTTTGCACAACAACGCGCTGACGCCTACTTTTCACAAGTCTAACAATCGTACTTGCCCAGTATCGTTTTTTACTCCATCGCAGTCACATTCGGCAGATAAATGTATAGTGATCTAAGATGAGAATGACAACGCGGTTTTCCCACTTACATACCGAGAACAATCGGAGTGTATGAGTCAATTATACATGCAAATAACGGATTCGTAGCCGCTCTATCCTAGACTTACTGGCTATCTAAGTTATAATTAGTTATAAATTACGGACGGACCATGAGAGAGCAAAGGACGACTTTGGCGGTTTCACTAGTGTTTTCTGCTAACCAGACAATCTCAAACTGATCCTTGCAGCACACCAGAGACCAAACAGTGGAAGACCAACGTCAATTACCAGAGTTATAATTAAAGGACAAGAAGCGAGTTCATCAAGCGACATACCCCTGCCCTCAACAACCTTGTAGAATCAGTCAACGTTAAGAGTGAAGAACGTGAAGCGCAGGTAAGTACTTCAACTAAGGAATACTGTAATAAATTGTGCGCTGTGAACACAAAATAATTCCCACTTTTGACCCTCCATCACTGGATAACAGTGGTTTCATCGGAAATCGATTAACCAGGAACTGCAAACAATATTCCAACATAAACAGTTACCTTTAGCTGTTTTAGTATATCTCAATTCTATCATCATCTTACTCAGAGACTTTAACATTATGTTGTGCTAGAGAACTTTGTATCGTAACCGAATAGTACGATAGGTTTACAGTCCTGCAGACGTCCATCATAAACTACTGTTAATATGCAAAATGTACGTAAATTTCATAATCCAGAAAGTTCCGAGTGCTTATGCAAGGATGAAAACATTCACTAGCGGTTGGAGCAACGAATTTTGGCGCATTGATGATGTTGAAAATGTCGAACAACATGGGTGGAGTAGGGGTCCTCGATGATCTGAAGTTGTTATACAAATCCAATCGACAGGTAAACATTGCAAGTTTCCACCAAGGTTTAACAGGCATATAACAATAAAATTAGGCAGACAATTGCTGTTTGCTTGAGCTGATATTGTCCTTTCGTCGAAACTTTACGAAACTGTCCAAATAAATATGGTTGCTCTGATAGAACGCATGAAATACAGCTGCGACCTTGGTGTCCCTTGTATACGGGTATCAGGAATTGTAGAATATATGAATGAGCCTTATAATGACGAAGATTGAAGTAGTTTCTTGACATGTGTCTTCTAACTACTATCACCTTCACGTATATTTCTGAGCTAGTTGTGGTTCGAACCAAGCTAGATTGCTAGCCAACTAGCGATGATTGAGTGAACAGTACCACACATTTATCAAATTCTTCATTTCTAAAGGAAGATGTCCACAATAAGTATATATGCCGAAAACGATAACAGGTAGGTGACCTCAGTACATTCAGTGAAAAGTTCGCCTCTAATCCTTCCAACTTAGTGAACGTTTGAAAAATGAATTCTCTTTTAAAAATCCTATACCATCCTATACCATTCAACTCCCCCTACTACGCCGCTGTAAATCCAAATAACGATATAAGAAGACGAAGGTCGCGTGATAACACTGACATTACTTGCCGACCGGTCAGCCACATGCACGTGGCTAACAAAGGGCTCAAAACAAGGTCACGAAAAATCGATTGGTGTGCTTCACTTTACCATGACAGGCTTGGTGCACCGGCAAATGTTTTGAACACATTAGTGGCGCTGTCCATCGATAAAGATGGCCTGAAATAGCTAGATGATGTAACGCCGTTGGATGCGCATGAAGGCTGTGAATGGATATCGGAGATCACCTGATGAACGGTTTTCATCAAATGTCACATGATTGCTGAGGCTACCTTGTTTGTCGATTCACATGGCGCTAACATTGCATGTTCCGTCCGTTTGCGGACACACTTTGGAATGTGTCTATTGATTCCGACACCTCAATATTGTTGCGGCCAACATAGCAGCGTCCACAGCTACACGTGCATTTGAATAAGCGATGGGACATGCACTGTTCGACACCGAAGTACACACTGAACATTTACGTAGTGGTCGCGTGGACACGAGTACAATACCTAAGTTGCATTTAGGATATTTTCATTAAGGTATTTATTCGTTTTCCGACCTATTTGAGGAAATAGTCAGCTATAAAAACATCGAGGAAACATGATTTCCCACAGGATATTCTCTTCAAAAATTTCAGAACACCAAGAAGAAACAACATTTCGCCAGAGTAAGCTGCATTCAGATATTTCGCGTCTTCTCATTAGCGGTGAACAAACAAGATGTGGAATCACTGTGATGCAAACACCACCGTAGGACAATGGGTAAAGTCGTTCTGTTTAAATAATGAGTCGATAACATTAACAGAGCAAGGTGAGGGTAGTCACAAACTCCATCTGCTCACATAAGTTGGGTTTCAGCTGACGAATCGCTGAAGCATCTGCAAATTGGAGCAGATGAGCAGTGCTCTTTCGATTAAGGATCTTGAACGATACCTGCGGGTGTTGGCACATGTAGAAATCCAGAATGTGTTGGGCGATGGAGCTTGCGCGCAGCTTAGGGCCATTTGTCACCAGGTTACGTGAGACATGTTCTGAGATCCTCTTAGATAGTCTCCTCACAGTCCGGTTCACGTACTTGCTGCCGCGAGTAAAATGAAAGAGGGAGATGCAGGAGACGGTAACTTTGGAGTCTGGCTTGTCCAGTTCGGATTTGCACATCAACCTTTAACTTGGTAGTCTTCCTTAATGGACTGGCGGAGACGATATCGAAACCTCTGTCATTTTGGTTCCCTTTGAAGCGCAATGTGATGAATTCCTTCTTATTAGGGAACTCTGTCTTCCGTTTCGCGATTGTCTTTGCGTTTGGGTGGCGCGTGATGAACTTCTCAAGCTATTCGTTCTCTCATATTGTTGCTAAGACAGGTTACAGTTTCTTATCAATTGTGAATTTGAGCATATATTTTGAGCGCTTTCGAAAACGGTACATACGAGTGCTCGTTTGTAGTTCATGGATCTGCAAATTTTAAAGTTCAGAAGCATTTCCGTCCAAGTAGGTTTACGGTACACCAATCGATTGGAAGTACCGTCTGGATTTTTTCAGCTTCACATTCAAAACTTGGAATGTGTTACCTGTATCGTTTTGCATTGCAAATTTAATCGAAGAATGACATTGGTTCAGAGTATCCAGTAAATAGACTGCCTGATCGACGCTAACAACTACAACAAAAGTAACATCCAGGTATCTGCTGTACAGATGCACATTTTATATAAATGCACGAAGTTTGATGTTCTCCATGTGTCACACGAAAATATCAACTAGGAATGGTCCAAGTGGGTCGCCGTTAGCCACAATTTTTGTTGGTACATTGTTCCATTGAATTTGAAATGAATGTTTTTGGCACATAGGCGAATTAGCAACTTGAGATTCTTTACCGTAAACCCCGCTTTATCAGTCTGATTACCAATGATGTCGATTGTCTCTTCTAAGGGAACATTAGTGAGCAGCGAGCAAACATCGGAGGAAACGATAGGTTTTCCATCTACTTTTAAAGCAAGCATCTTGTCGACGAATAACAATGTATCCTGGTCGGTATAGTCTGTTAACTCGCGTCGGATAGGTTCAGTAAACTGAGCTAGCCATCGTACCAACTTTGCTACGGTGCACCCAACATTGCGAATATTAGTGGGCGCAGTGGAACTCCTTCCTTGTGAGATTCGGGTAAACCGCACAAACGAGGTGGTCGAGCTTCGCCAGGGCGGAGCTGTGCAATCGTTTTCGCACCAATCAGTCCAGCATTCAGTAGACTATTAATTTTGCAAGTAATGAACATTTCAAGTTGTTCCATTTTATCGAGAACTGCTACTTCGCGTAAAAAAGACCACTAGTGTCTGCAAGAATTGATTGCTTTTCAGGACCTAATATTGATTTTCAAAAATAACTACCCCAGTCCCCTTGTCAGGCTTTAGTATTACTACGTCTTCCTTTTGGCGCAGTTCTGGCAAGGCTTTCCAGTTTGCTGCACTCAAAAGTTTGCAATTTTCATCCTCAGTAATACAAAATGGGTTAGCTAGATCCACCGCTTAAGCTTCAAACCAATCGTCCGCGTCGTCTGTGGCTGCTATCACACCTGACAACTGTTTCTACCGGCGTTCAAATGGTGCCTTAATGCTTAATCGGTCGAATTTCTACAAAGGAACTGACAGGTTGAAACCCAGCCATAGAACTGTAAGCTGAGGGCGACTTAATGTAATGGACGACAAGTTTAACGGGTATTTTTCGGGTTCCATAGGCGTCTGGTCGCTGCAACACCCTGATGACATGGCGTTCATGAACTGATGTCTTGTTGTTGACGACGTTCTCATTATTAGTTGCTGAAACAAGCCGAAAAATTTTAAACGGCACACAAGATTCAAGCTATTCAGGACTTGGCCGAAGTCTCTTATTCTGGCATTCAACCCGTCAATACGCTTGGTGCAAGCTACAATGTGCGATATTGTTAAACGTCACAACTTTCGTGGGTTCACCGGCGATTTGGCCTTTCGTAGTGACATTACAAAATGACGCGGGTGGGTAAATGTCCGAAGGCACAGTATGAAAATTCAGGCGAGTAGCCCCACCGAGATATACAACAGCGCAGATCCAGTAGGTTGTCCAGTGAGTGAAATGAGTTAAGGGAGTCGATTCTTGAGAAATTTCACGCAGGCTTTTCCGTTCACAAATTTCAAAATACCAAGAAGAAACAACATTCCAACAGAATAATCGGCATTCAGATATTTTGCGTCTTCAGCTGTGCGTAAACAATATGTGGAATCAGTAAGCATCACACACGAAGGTAGGACAATGCGTGAAATCGTTCTGTTTAAACAAAGCCGATCGATAACATTACCAGGGCAAGGCGAAGGTGGTCACAAACTCCGTCTGCCTACGTAAGCTGGGTTTCAGCTGACGAATCTCCGAAGTCTTTGCAAATTAGAGCAGATGAGTATTGCTCTTTCTAGTAAGGATCCTGAACAATACCTGCGGGTGTTGGTACGTGCGATAATCCAGGAAGTGCTAGGAGATGGACTTTGCGCGCAGCTTAGGGCCAATTGTCACCAGGTTACTTGAGACATGTTCTGAAATCCGGTAAATGTAAGAAGGAATCCTGATGGGACACTCACGTTATCAGTGTACAGCAAGCTGACTTGGGTGGGACAGTATATCAACATTGCCAGTTTATGCGTCATCACCTAACAACGAGCACTCGTATGCACCCAGTTCTCAAGAGCTCGTAAGATAAACTCCGAATGGATAATTGACAACAAGCTGCAACATGTCTCAGCAACACTGTGCGAGAACGGGTATCCCAGGTAGTGCATCACGTGCGACTCAAACGAAAAATACAAGCAGCGAGAAGAAGTTTCTTTTCGATAATTCTCTTCGGGCGTGTACAATTAAGGTGCCAATAATAAAAAGTGCATTAAGCAAGACTTTAGGCTGACGTTCATAAGAAAAATTTATTCCCTAATCTGCCATTCAAAGAGGACAAAAATGACAGACGGTTTCAATATCGTCTCCGCCAGTCCATATTTTGCGGCCGATAGAGTCCTACTCCACCAAGATATGAGATTGTCATACAAATCCGATCTGGACAGGGCAGACTTCAAAGTTACCGTCTCCTGCATTTGTCTCTTTCATTTTACTCGCGGCAGCACGTACGTGGGCTGGACTGTGAGGAGAATATCTAAGAGGAGCTCAGAACATGTCCCATGTAACCTATGACAAATTGCCCTATGCTGTGCGCACGCCCAAGCACATGCTGGATTACCACACGTTCCAACACCCACAGGTATAGTTCAAGATCCTTAATCGAAAGAGCGCTGCTCATCTACTCCAGTTTGCAGAGACTGCAGCGAATCGTCAGTCAAAACCCAACTTTTGTGAGCAGATGGAGTTTGTGACTACCCTCACCTTGCCCTGGTGATGTTATCGATTACCTGTTTAGACAGAACTACTTCACATCCTGTCCTACTATCGTGCGTGCAGCATGGTGATTCCATATAATTTTTGTTCACCGCTAATGAGAAGACGCGAAATATCTAAATTCAGCTTATCGCTTCGAAATATTGTTTTTCTTGCTATTTTGAAACCCGATATCTTTTGACATTTTATCTCTCAGTTACTTGTAGTTTTTTCATCAAAGCACTTTATGAGCTGCGACTGATAAGCATCAGAGTTTAGTACATCAAATAGCAAGTTTTCACTGCATCAACTGTATCTGTTTTGTAAAACATTTGAGCTTGTTGGAACAGATTTGCAATAAAGAGCGCTGGTGATGCACTGACGAGAAGCTTCTAAAAGATAAGTGTTCATTGGTCCAGGTTACTTTTCTGGTAGCTAGACCTTTAGGTCGAATCATCAATACTCTTGTGAGCGTTATATGTTTGGGAGATATATGTTTTGCTCAGTTTCGCATGTCCAAGCATGGTTCTGTAACACGCTATTGAACGATTTGTTTGCAGGTGCAATGTCTTTATCCGGATTCGTGACGAAAATATATCAGCAGTAAAGCCTCCTTACAAGGTTATCGATTTCTAGTAGACCCATAAATATGTCAGCCAGTAAGGGCCTCAAAAGCAGTCCGTTATCAAACCACCGATCGTTCAAAATCTTTTCCTTAAAGCAAAAGTTGACGTCTTTTGTGCATTGTATGAGCAGGCTATTTGCATTTCCGTGGGGATCTGTATTGCAAAATGTTGTCTTTTGTGATAAATCCGCGTAAGTAGTCAACAGTCTGGTACACCTGAATGTTGACGAAATGCCACTGCATATCGAATGAACACCTGCGCTTGTGGGTCACATTTGTGTCTTGCAAATGGAAAGTACTACAGAGGTGTTTGATAAGTCGTGTTTTGTTAAGAAAATTTTCACTGACTCAATAATGCAGTTCAGCTGGTTAACCATGACATGGTATGTTCAATACACCATGAAGATTATTAGCCGCGCTGTGCTGAGATGTACAGTTACGTAACACTAGCTATGGGAAAAATAAGAAAGCTTACTTTTGTTTAGTGGTGGCATACAGATCACGACGTTCATTTTCAATTGCCCATTGTTTTCACAGACACCAAATGGAAGCTAGCGTGAACAACATGTATCGATAAATGTGTGCAAATCGGCTTGCTTTTATCTGAATGTCGAAGTGACAAAATCAATTTCAGCAACTAAAAACTTTCGTGCACTTTTAAACTGGAGTTAGTGCAAAGTTTAAGTAAACCTCCACCATGGCATCTTCCAAGACACCGTTTCGTCCCGGTATGTAGAACCTCTCATTTGTTTCAAGACACCATTTAAAGCCCAAATTTCAAACAAAATATGTCTTAGCTAGGTCCTAAACTATGAGGTTCTATAGGAATGTGAAGTTTATATGTTAGAAAGGTTAGTGAATGATGCCAAGGACATTAACACCGGTTGACCAGGAAACTAAAAGTGAGAAAGCACTATATTCCTAGGGCACTCTGCTATGATTATCTGCATGACTGTGATAATCGTGAATTCTTTCGCAGATAACACTGTACTGCAAAATGCTACGTGTTCAACACAGACATTATAGGAAATGATGGTTGAGCTGTACGAAAATTGTTGAACTTCGGTCGAGGAGATGGATACAATTGATTACAATCAGTGTATTCAAGAAAGATGCCAGACACTTTGGTGTTCAGAGTGAATTGCTTGACACGATTGGGTAAACATTTTCAGCCATAAGCAAATGAACTTCCATGCTCTACGTCTTTTTACTCAAATTTTCGCTAGTTGACGGGAAGCGAGTCCACTCATTCAAGCAGGATAACAGTCGCTGCAGCAAAACGAGATAGTTGTATGTTTTTCTAATCAGCATTTCAGTCTCGGTTATGTATTATCGAACTCATATTTAGATGAAGACGTGGCAGTTTCAACCTGGAATGAAGTATGCCCGAAGTTGGAACTGTGATCAATGTTTTGGAACGAGAACAAGACGCCCACAACTGTCCTTCAATTTCCTCACTTATTTTATTGACTTTTTCCTTTCGGACTTCTTTGTTGTTCGCAGAATACTGCATATTAATTCCAAGTGACAGCCCTCCATTAAGAGGGCAAAGCACCGTTCATGAATCCAAAATATCGCTCCTAAAATTGGATAAGTAACTAACTAGGTTCTTTTCAGCATCCAACCTGCGAAAATTCACTTCTGCCAACTCTTACCACTTTTCTGTCTTCTCTTTCTCTCTTTTCATTATTTCAAACCGCTCAATCCAGCCGACGTCGTCCGCACCAAGTGCAAGAATGGTTGGTATACCAAAGATGGAGCAACTGAAAAGTGCCCTCAATTCTCGGATCAATAACCCTAATTCGCAACGTCGAATGGTTTTGTGTGTGGTTTGTGTTGCTCTTCTCCTGGACAACATGCTATACATGGTGATTGTACCCATTATACCCGACTATTTACAGGCGATAGCTGGTCTTGGACATGAACAAGTGATGTGGACAAACGGAACGTACAGCAAACAAGTATCGCCTACCGAACGTTATTTCAACGACTCTAGCGGTCAGTATCAACTGCGATGGCTAGTGCACGAGTCTGATGCAAAGATCGGAACTCTGTTTGCATTTAAAGCCATTGTCCAATTGCTATTCAATCCGCTCTCTGGAACCGTTATTGACCGCATCGGATACGATTTACCAATGATGTTCGGTCTTTGTGTCATTTTCGTCTCCACATCAATGTTTGCTTTTGGACGCTCCTTCGGACTGATGTTCCTTGCACGTGGACTACAAGGAATGGGTTCTGCGTTCGCCGACACCGCAGGATTGGCAATGATCGCAGATCGATTTACAGAGGAAAAGGAGCGCACAAAATCTCTGGGAATCGCACTGGCCTTCATCTCGTTTGGTTCACTTGTAGCCCCTCCTTTTGGTGGAATTCTGTACCAATTTTTTGGAAAGGAACTGCCATTTATAACCTTGGCGTTCATTGCTTTGCTCGACGGATTCTTGTTGATGGTAATTATGCAACCGGTACGAATAGAACGCACGGTCTTGAAGGCAGAGGGCAATTTACCCAAAGGAACCCCAATACACCGGCTCCTTTTAGATCCTTACCTTGCCATTTGTGCCGGTTGTCTGACTGTTGCGAACGTGTCCCTTGCCTTTCTGGAGCCCACGATCTCGAACTGGATGTCCGTCGAGATGCATGCAACAAACTCCCAGGAAGGTCTAGTTTGGCTTCCTGCATTTCTGCCCCATTTGGCCGGAGTGATAACTACGGTAAAACTGGCCAATAAATATCCAAAGTACCAATGGCTTATGGCTGCTGCCGGATTAGCAATTGAAGGAGTGAGCTGTTTCTTCATTCCATTCTGCACCAACTTCCTTGCCCTGATGATTCCAATCTCGGTACTGTGCTATGGAATTGCACTAGTGGACACTGCTATCTTACCCACCATGGCATTTCTAGTTGACACTCGGCATGTTTCCGTCTACGGTTCTGTCTACGCCATCGCTGATATCTCTTACAGCATAGCCTATGCGCTTGGACCCATTGTCGCTGGAGGTCTGGTTCAGGCAATTGGATTCCTTGGCCTGAACATCGCCATCACACTATGTACTCTCGCATTCGTGCCCGTTCTCTATCCTTTGAGAAAGTGTTACAAACAGACTGAGATCACTGCAGCAAGCCGCGAACTACGAAGGCGTAGTACCTTCTCAGCTGACGATCGACGCTCACAACAAGCCCCTTTGGCTGACAATGCACTTCTCAATGATCACAATAAGACGGTGTATCCTGGTTACGAACAAACGCAGCATTTCGAGTATGGCGTCGAAAAGCGTTCACTAATGGGAGGCAACAGCATGTCGAACCAGAGGCAGCCTACATCTCGCAAAGGAAATGTGGATTTTTCGCTGCCAGAGCAGGAGGGATATGGCTACGGATGATTACCATAAGTATGTCAAGGTCAAACTGCGAGTCCTTAATCAGCGGCAGATCGATAAAGACTTTGGGTTGAGCTGTTAGTCGTGTATTTATGCCCCATTTCAGAGCGCGAGCCAACATCTTCCATCAGTTTTGCGCAAACCCACATCCTGACCATACGCATATGACTGCTACTTAACTGCTCTCCTCAGATGCATCACGTGGGATTATTTGCGGAAAAAAGTAGTTCACCGAGGATATCGTCCAAAAGGTCAAACGTATTTAACTCTGATTTTTTGTTTCAACATTTATGAATCGAGCCCTCTATCTAGACTGAAATTTCTAACCTAAATATTAATTCAGTATCAATGATCTACACAGCAGCAATAATTTACGTTTTATCGAAAACTTTGTTTTTTCTTGTAGTAAGCTCAGTTTCAATAGTTATTTCGTATGCTACGCAGTATCGAACAGAGCATATTGCTAAGGAATAGAGAAGTGACCAACTTTGATGGTTCTAATGTGAAACTCGAAAATAAAGGGAAAGATGATCCTGCAACTGAAATTATTAACCCATTAGCAAAGTGGGCGTGAAATATTCTGCAATGTAAACAAAAGGTTACCTGTATTTTTAAACTTGAGCGTCCGATTTTGACATTGAACGTGGCAGTGCATAAGACGATTACTTACTAACAGCGTTAAAGTAAAGACTTCTAAGCGGAACCGTGGAACTTTTCGCTCAGAACATCAACCGTGTACATTTAACGTGGAGATTGGGCTGTATTTTGCACCTATCTGGTTCTCAAACAAATTGATGCAATAAATGCACTCTCATCGTCGCGGCTGAAAGCAAACGCTTCTAATTGAATGAGCCCCACACATTTCGCCCTCTGAATGCATATAGTAGATCACTTGATAAGTTAAAAAATAATAATTGGATTAATATTGGTTGATTGTTGAGGTGAAACCGATACCTACAGACAGGATAAGCGAATATTGCAGGCTGCATTTTTAATTATTTATGACATCATTTAATTTCTGGGCCTCAAGTTAAAAATCATTGCCGTCAGATATAAGACCTAGGAAATTTGCTGACATCTTAAGTCACAAAGAAATATTTGAATGATTACCGTGTTTCGAGCAGGGTAGCTTTCCGATGTTGATGCTATACTGGTGACTGGTTTGCTAACTGGCCGTGACGAATTCAGAATGGTTCGCCATAAATTTCACAATGCGGGCTCTGTTAAAGTCAACATATGTTTTAACTATGTTGTTCAAAGAAACGGCTATCAGTTTGGATTCTCTAAGTTGGATGCCAAATGCTTTAATCAGCTCATTCTTGTCCTTTATCATTGTATTTCATCGTTGTTAACCCCGATTAGAGTTGTTGATGCTGATGACACAAGACAGTGGTTACAAGCACGCCATTTGTTGGTATGGTTGTGGCGACGTTATATCGGTCCTTCTAGACTTCCTTCTCTTGCCGCCCAAACTGTGATCAGTAACTTTAAGGCTGGTGCATTAAGGGTACAGTACTACTCGACAACTAGTGTGGATTATCCTTAGGCGGTGTAGCATTACGGCTTCCAACAAATGTACGTCTCAGAGTTCATTATAAAACTGGCGTCCAAAGAAGCACGCATGCAAGTGATTCTGGAATGCTTGACGTGGGCAGGATCACCAGTTTTAGACGACAGTGAAAAACCAAAAAATATACCTAAGACGTCGAATAACACACGTCGGAAAATACACAACGGATCCTAAAAACCTTTAGGTGGTTACCGATGCACAACAGAATACGAATACTAATGTTTCGAAATACGGGTAGCTCGGGTTGATGAATCAATTGTTCATTTGTTCTCCGAGCTTGGCGGTTTTGTCGCAAACGTTTCACCACCATGCGAGGTGGCATCCTCAGTGCAGTGATATGTAGCGTGCAAGCTTGCACGCTACGTGAAAACGTTTGCGACAAAAACGTGAAACGTTTGCGACAAAACCGCCAAGCTCGGAGAACAAATGAACAATTGACGAATACTAATGCCCAGATTGGTTATCATACGAAGTCGGATGAATTAATGCTGGCATTCAGTTCTCAGATCCGACGGCAAAATACCTGTGAACTAACGTAAAGACAGAGAGTGAGACAGACGAAACACCCAGATTATCTTGAGCAGGCAGTTCCAGAGTGTTTAAATTAGCGTCCAAACGCAATGTTAGTGGTTCCACTTTTCTTCAAATCACTCACAGAAATGCGTGACCTTAAACACTTATGTTGGACCATAATGTCTAGGTCGTGGATTTTCGATCGAAAAGTAAGGTGATACGTGGGGCACACGTACGTTTGTAGAATTTCATCAATGTTTTGTGAGAAATGAAGATTTCAGTATGGGACAGACAGCAGCACACACAAGTTCTGCTGATACACAACAATTATTAAACTCTACAAAAGGGTGGACAAAATGTATCCACCGCGAAACAGGAAATATTCAGAAGCACAGTAAAGACTTGAATTGACAATACTCTCATCTTGTTACTGATCATTTACATCGGTTAAGCCAGAATCGAGTTTACGCATCACTTTGGAGACGTGAAAAGGATCAGACTGACTACAACTGACACAGCTGTAAATGCGAAAAGTGAGGTAAGATGATGAAACTTGGTATGTGTATGTGTTTCGTATTGTCTCTGGAGTACCGCCTAACTGCGGGTGTGTCTAGATAAATCGGAGGTGCAAAATAATTGACTGGAGTTCCATTCTTTTAACCATGGAGGTCTTAAGCTGACAAAGAATAATTTTTAATATCACTTAGTTTCTTGTATCCGGTTAATTGCGACAGCTTCGGTGAAACCAAGGAAGTGGGGATTAGCCTGACGTAACACAAAGGTGAACGCTGATGCGAACTGTGTCCGATGATACATGACCAGTAAGTGTTTACTTATTGAGTGGAAGGACTCACCACGAGTGTACATTCAATTAACTACAGATTATCGGCCCGATAAGCAACCGAGAAAGTTTCTCTAGCATGACTTACTAAACTTTTCATCAATGTCCACTTGTACCGCGCCGATGAAAAGCTGGTGTAGTAAAGGTATTGGTCAAAGCAAGGAAATTTCCTGTAGACGGATCTATTAACGTGATTGATGAAGGTGCTAAAAAACAACAGACCGATCTTATGTTCGTCCTCAAAGTCGACCCGCAAGTTGGTGTGTACGCCGTTAAAATGCTCCACCAACTGCAGTCTACTCTTGCGACGAACAAATGACCAATAGGTCATCCACATCAAGATTGTAGGATGTTAGCTTATCTACTTCTTTAGATATACAGCTTTCTATCATCAGCAGGAAGAAATCCGCGAGCACAGCACTTCTAGGGCTGCCCATTGTCACCTCATCATTTTTCCGAAGCTGTCTCAATAGGCGAAATGAAGCCAACTCTTGGTGTCCAGAAGCTATTATTCATCAGTTTAACGCTACCTTAGACGTAGAGGTGCGAAGGCCTGAATATGCATGATCACACCAACACGAGTGATTTGTAGATGATCAATAGTGTTACAAGGTTAGCAACAACATATTAGATCTGTATGGTGTTTATATGTATGTATTCCGGTATGAATGTGTGAAGCTCTGTTGGTTACATTTGCAAGTGTGTGGTTGTGCTTGATCGGGTCGTTTGCGTGAAAAGAGGTGAAAGCCAAGCTTGGTAATAGATTCCTGGTGTCCGTGGAGGGAGCAAGATCATTTGGATACGCAGGAGACAGTGAATTTAGTTGGAGGCCATTAACATCCGCCACTTCGTAATGTTGCTAAACCGACATGTGTGACGTTTCGTAGAGAGGAGAAGGCTGGCCCAGTGGAAACCCACCACGTCCTGAAGCACTGCCGCTGAACAATTCACTGGAACCATATTGACCGGCACCACCCAGCCGATAACACGAGGAGGATGTTCGGCGCACCAGTAGTTCACTTTGCACCTCGCGCTTACTTCGGCACACTCAAAGTTAAGTGCACAGTCACCTATCGTTTGTTGTTAATGGAACCTAAGACAATGCGAAATGCATGCATCTACCAACTCACATCTTCACATCGCAGTTTTCCATTGGTAACTTCATTGACAATTCACTCCCCGAATTCACCTTTACGTTTTCTTGCTTCGACTTCAGGCTTTTACAGAATTGCTCTTCAGGTGAATGTCTCATCCAGTAAGGGAATTTGTTAGACGTATATCAACCCTCGATGTGGAACAATATCCGGAATGGGATCTGACGGTAAGTGCCAAAATGGAATCTAGCGATTATAGTTGGCAAGAATAAAGTTTATGAGTCTAAAAATCAAGGATGCCATACCTTTTTATGTATTTACTTTCAAGATTTCTATAGACGAGCCCTTAGGATTTGTTCTGTACCATGAATTCAAACGATCTACATGGCGAGTTGAAAAGTAGGTAATTCCAATCACCTTTGAAAGTAGTCTTGTAGTGGCCTTAGAGAAGAAATCGCCAAATTGCATTCAACCAATTAGTAAACTAGGGTTTGTTTTCTAATCTACTCAAGTGAGCATCTACGCAGGGACATTTTAAGTTATATTATTCATTGAGGCAAAAGAACTTGCAGCTCCGACCAATCATGGCTTCGGCGCAAATTAAGAAACTGGAATTGAAAAAGGTGTTACGCGGTATAATCTCCACAGCGCAACAACTATGTTCGTTGGATGCTTGTGATATGTCATAAGTGCCAAGCCACTTTTCCGCTCTGGACATGTGATATTATAGCCACATTTCCTCCAATTAGAGCAACACTAGAAATATTTGCTTCGTTTTGTGCGACCCGTTGTGTGAGGCCTGAATATTCAAGTTGAATGTTAATTACCTCGAAGTAAATAATTTTCAGTATAGAAGTTGTAACGACACTTAAAGCTAACAACTAAGTTTTATTGCTCCATTTCAATGCGATGTATTTCCACCACGCTCTTTTAATACAAACGCATCAGGTACAGATAATTGGCTTCTATTGTGTCGGTCTGATAGTTGTTCAAGTTGACGCCCCTGGAAATGATGGTTTTGGCTAGTAGTTTTATGTAGCCGCTAACCAAGTGTGTGTGAATGCCTCGCTTTTGCTTTCTTCCTTAATATCTTAAGTCGGAGGTGTGATCAGTGACATTCTGTCAAACGCAGAGTACATAGACGGTTGATCACTCTTTTGATCAGACCCAGCTGCCATGCAATCGATACTGAATGGGTTGATGTGGACGGTCGCAATTTTCGGCATGCGGAGAGCAGCCTCCGGTCGGTTCGTTTTAGCTGTATTTAAAAGATTATTTTATTTACAACTGAGTAGACGGGTTTGGGCACGATTCGATTTGGTTCATCGCAATTAGATTCCAAGCCGCATAGGTAAGCTACCAACCCGGAAAAGCATCAGATGCGTGTTTTTCCCTATTGGGGCTCGTCAGTGGTGCGTATCCATCGGCCCCCTCCTAGGAATCGAACCCTTGACCGCTAGAGGAAAAGCCAACTCGCCAGCAGCATATGCCACTGAGCCGACCAAACATTGCGTTGGAATTCTTTGTTCATTAGAATTATTTCGTAAAAACTTAGAAACCATTCCGTTTCGTTACTAATTTTCAACTTTTAGACCATAAGTACTTGTTATCACCGGTGAGCTTGATATGACCATCTTGTTTGCGGATTATTCACAATACCGAAGCAAACACAATGTAGTACTTGTTTCAAGGTAGTCGGATATAGTGCAAATGCCCTCACGTGTGTTTGGTGTCAAGTTAAATATCACATTTCTTGCGTTGGATTATAAGCTGATCCTTTTCGTCGTCTTCGTGAAATCCAACACCATTACGTTCAACATTTATGCGAAAATTGCCGAGAAGAGACACAGCCAGAAAGAGTAAAGCCAACGTGTAGGCTTCATTATCTCATTACGAATTGCTCCGTGTGTTTGACCCAACAATCTAGACAGAACAGCCCTCAGTCTTCCTCCTCTACTCGTGCAAACTCACCGGCACGTAGTCCAACCATTGTGAGAAGCCCAGTTTCACTTGGCATAAATTGTTTACCTTTTTTGTGTCCTACGAGCATTGATGTCCCAGTAGGTGAAAGCCTGAGTGCTGAGGAATAGTGGAACGAACAAAGAACGAAACTACAAAAGAATGTTGAGCGTTTAACTTCTCTAAGTTAACAGCTAGCCAAACCAACTAAGGCTTGTACTATGCTTCGCCCTGCAAAATAAACCTCGTCCGATCAGAGGTAATAGTACCTCGTTATCTTCCACGCGCCGGAGTCCAATGTCCTCTCACTCCAAATAGGCTACGATCCCGATGTCGATATTTACGGGGCTTAATTGACAGACTCCTTGATGCTGGTGTGGACTCGGTAGAGTGAGGAAAACTATCGGTCTTAGAAAGTAAGGCGAACGACAAAATAGGCCTATGAGAATAACGTTTGTGCGCGAAGCCAGTGCAAGTCTGATCTAGTCCCACCTAAGTAGGCTGAAAGGTTTGAAGATCCGTGTTCGTCCAGACCTGGACCCAGTAGACCGGGAACGGTACAAGTCTGCCATCACTAAGCTGAAATGAGGTACTGTTGTGGGGGAACAAAGCTTCGTATCGTAAATTTTCGGGTGGTTTCCATGAATCTGCGAATCAGGATAAGCAGGTTGCTCACACTTCAAGCAAGCCAGGCGGTTTCTGCTGCAGCATGCTTGTAGCCTTTTCCAACGTTTACGCAGTTATGAACAAGCGCGATGAGCTTTGTGGTTTCGTTGCGTCTGAGCCGCCAGACTTATTGGGATTTGCAGAGACGTGGCCGCATTTAGTGGGATACACGCAAGAAATTGCACTTAGCGGTTACTCGCGCTTCCGTTGCGATAGACTATAGAATGCCCGCGGTGGCGTTTCCCTCTAGATCCGGACTTTCCTGCGTGGGAGAGTTGTGAGCACCTACCGAATTGATGATGGTCCGTGTGAACTACTATGGTGCTCCATCCACCTCTGGCGCGGAGAACTGCTTTGGGGTGCAGTTGATCGTAGCCCCTGAGTCGCTATTTGGCTTGGCTGCCCAAACTTCGAACCCACATGAGACGTCCTCATTTCTTATTTATGAGCGATTTTCACTGACCTCGAATACAATGGCCTAAGGTACAACTGACGCCTAGGCATGGAGGTTGAAGTAAAATTCATGGATTCGGTAGTTGGAATTGATGCATCCCAACATATATGCCAGCGAACATGCATAACACCACGTTCAACCCGCCTTCTCTCGACCTGATGTTAACGAGCTACGAACAATTGCGTGACGTTGGGATCCTGGAGCCCCCGGGTGCAAGCGACCACTCAGTGCTCATAGCTGATATGGAAGTATCTTTGCCGTATTCACGTACGCTGGAGCCAGCTTACAACTATTGGAAAACGGACTTCGACGGTCTAGCTCAAACCGCGAGAAAACTGGATTGGTCTATATCAGCAGCTTCACCTTTGAAAGACTGTTGGACATTTCTAAAAGAGAGATTGCCAATATTTTCGCAATTTGTGTCCTTGAAGTGCCAGAAGGTTGGACCGATTAAGCCAAGTTTTGACAAGGAGTTGAACAAGGATTTTGACAAGGAATATGGTTTGACAAGCAGTATGGAAATCTGGCTCTTACGCGGCGCAGATCGCGGAACAGCTTCCTCCTCGCTGGCTCTACCAATGAATTCGAAGTGTATAAAAGTCAGCAGAACGTTGCAACAGTGCAAAAAGGACTAAGCGCTAACATTTCGTAGCGCAGCTTGCAATCGCCGCGAAGACCGTCCCAAAGAGAATCTTTGTTTACTTAAAATGACGCCTGAAGCTAGCAGGCGAGGTGCCAGTGCTAAGTGGTCCCGGCGGACAGCTCCTAAACCCCAGCACCGCGCGTGCGTCCTCTCTGGCAACACATTTCGCTTCTGTATTTGCAAATGCCCAGGTATCTGTACCGAGTTTCGACGTGTGCCGCTTTTACCGAACTCGGCAGTCTGGGTTGAGACGTTGAAGAAGTATGTCAACTACCCGCCTGCATTGACGGCACCAAAACTGCCGGACCTGATGAGCTCCACCCACGAATCATCCTGTAATTTCAGACCTCATCACCCCTGCCGTGCCTGACCTTCTCAACAGGTCGCTGTCCGAAGGTTCGTTGTCGACTGACTGGAAATGTTCGGTGGTAAAGCTTATGCCGAAAGATGGCGACTCTAGCAAAGTAGACAACTACGGACCAATTTTTACGACACCTATTTTGGCAAATGTTGCTGAGAAAAACGTAAAGAAGTGATTGCTGCAGTTGCTACAGACAAATGAAATCCTGTTGCCTGCACAGCATGGTTTTATGCACAGTCGCACATACATTAAAAACTTGGTTGTGGCGATGCATGAGTGGTTACGGGCAATAAGCAAGGGGAAGTCTGTTGAAGTTATATTCATCGATTTCATTAAAGCTGTCGACAAGATCAGCCATGAGGTCCTCCTTCACTGCACCAGTGGATCCGCGACTTTCTTGTTGCACGAAAGCGGGGGGTGGAGGATTTCGACTGCCATCTAACTTACTGGTATCCCTCTACAAGTGGCATACCTAAAGGCACTATGCTCGGGCCCACCGATCCTGATCCACACCAACGATCTACCTCAGCTTTTCCGGTCGCCGTGTGCCTTGTTTGCAGATGACATGTAGCTGTGGAGAGAAATTCACGCTCCCGACGACTGTGGCCTACTTCAGCAAGACCTCAAACGCCTATCCACGTTGTCTGCAGAAGTTCCCCTCCAAGTCAACCTAGCCAAATCTGGATTTATAAGCCTGGGGAAGGGTGCTGATGGCTGACCCTACACCATTGATGGCCAAGTGCTATATCCCACACCCTCCGTGAATGACCTGGGTGTATTCTCGCGCTGCGATTTGAAATCTGTGGACAACATGAACGAGGTACATTGTAACGGACTGCGTATGCTTTGCCCGCTAAAACGTGGTCTGAAGCGGTTGCCACTCGTCTCTTCTCTTTTATCATTAGACCAATTCTAGAGTACCGTTCGTCTGCCTAAGTTCCGATTAGCCGTGACGAGACACAAAAGATCGAACGGGTCCAACACGTTGCTACCAGACGCATCCCGATTTTATGTGGCTGCAGCATAAAGGCTGGTGCGAGAGACTAGGGCTCTATACCTTGTTCTACTGTCGGGTGTCAGTCAACCTCATTACGACCTACCGTATTATACATCTCGGTGAATTCCCCATACTGAGGCCAATGCT